TTTAAACACCCTCTGCCTGAGGTCAAATCTTTTTGCAATGCTGATGTAAGGCCTGAAGGAATTTAAGTCAACTCTTAAAAAGGACTTAGGGATCCTACTGTAAACCATTGCTTTCTGCCAACCAAGTGGTTCAGAATTTAAGTTCTCTCACTACAGAATTAACTCTGAGACTGTGAATTTGAGGGGTTTTGGATACTACCAATAAATACTTTTTAAATAAGTTGTAATAAACTTTTAAAATTAATGTTGTATGCCAAAGTTATCAAATTATAAAGAAAAATACAAGTTGTCACCCATTGATTTTGACTCCTGTGTATCACAATAGAACTGTGCTCCAGAGGATGTGTGAAAGTTGAATTTTAGAAGTAGATCACCAGGTTCTTCGTGGGTGACTCTGAGTAGACTTAAACAACCAACCTTTTAGGAAGCAGACAAGCATATTAATCATTTATGCCATGCAAAACTAAAACAAACTCCAACTTATATTTATTCTATAAGACAGAGTAGAACTGTTCCCTAGAGTTTCTGAGATGAGAAAACATGTTCTTTCTCAAGGAACAGCTAGTGAGCTCAAACTTCTGACCCTGAGGTTAACAGGCCAAATCATAACCTATTATGCCACCAGGTCTCCACCCAGGTACCCTGGAATTCTCCTTGTTGAAGTCAGAACACTGGGAAGAATGCTCACCATTATACTATGCAATAAAAGAAATGCTTGTCAATGTAATTAGACATGAAATATGAATAAGAGTGTAAAAATAAGTCAGCATTTCATATACAGAATATCACACAAAACCAACAGGAAGGAACCAAACAAAAATTCAACAATAATGACAAAACAAAGCAGAGCAAAACCTCGATTGAAAAGAAAGCAGAAGATATTAAAAACTGAAGAAACTGTAGAATGGATCAACAGGGAAATCAAATGACAAAGTGTTACACTTTCACCTAACTTCATCTGTCTCACTGTCTGACAGCAAGGCTATGTAAATCCCTGGGCTGTGGTTCAAGGGGCTTCAGCAGAGGCTTAATCCATGTGGGGACCCTCTGGATGGATTTGGGGCTTC